ATCAAGTAGAGTAAATGCTGAATCCTTCAAGATGACTTTGTACACCATTCACTAAGTACATTCAGAAATCATGACTTAAAAGGTCAAAATGAAGCATTAGAATCCAACCAGATGGCAACTGCAACTGGTATGGAGAATTTAAAACAACTATTTTAAGGAAACCCAATGATTCAAAAACAGAAAAACAATCTAATACTCTAACAAGGAAACAACTGAGATATAAAAGCAATTTTTAAAAACCAAACAAATCCTTGAACAAAACAATGCACTAAGAAACATTAAAACACCATAGGGAATAGATAAAACAGAAAAAAGAACAAGCAATCTCAAAACTTGGCTATGCAACAACCCACAGCTGTAGGGAGGGGAAAAGGAATGAAGAATGAAGAAAGCTTATAGGAACTTTATGACAGTGAAACAGCGATCATCTGGGTTGTTGGGTCTCATGAGAGATTTAAGAACTCCAAAGAAATAGAAAGCTTTTCAAAGCTATCATGCCATTTTCCCCAAACCTAGAGAATTCAAATACCCAGGTAAAGAAAGATCAACAGTCACATTTAACATAGTCAATTCATGAAAAGGAAATCAATTCCAAAGATATATGTGTGTACACATAATATTAAATCAACCAAATATGTAAGGTAAATCCAATGTAATATTAGGAGGCTTCAGCACCCTACCTTCAGAAATAGACAGATCATCCAGACAGAAAATTAACAAAGAAATAGTGAGTTCATTAAACCTGGGCCATATCAGTGGGCCTAGCAAACATCTACAGAGCATTCCACCCAACAGCTGCAGAGTACACATTCTTATCAGCACATGGAAATAAACTTAAACTTTAAACCATAATACAACTGAACCAGAAATTAGTAACAAGAAATCATATAACTAGCACACAGATACTTAATAACTTACTATGAACAACCAATGGATCAAAGAAAAAATCAAGATGGGAATTTTAAGCAAATGAAAATATTAATACAACACCACAATCTTTTGGATACAGAAAAAGTGAACTTAACAGCAATCAACACCCACATGAAAGAGAAATATTTCAAATAAACAATCTATTATTGAATCTCAAGGAACTAGAAAGACAAGGGAGAGAAAAGGACAAAATTAGTAGGAGGGAAGAACGGAAATAGAATTTAAGGCATAGATAGGTGCCAGTGGCACACAGCTGTGATCTAGTAATTAGGCTAAGACCTAGACGATTGCAGTTCAGTGCCAGCTTGAACAGAAAAGTCTATAGGACTCCATCTCTAATTAGACTCGAGACATGGCTCAAATGGTGGAGCACCTGCTCAGCAAGTGCAAGGCCCATGAACTCAAATACTAGCACCACCAAGAGAAAAATTAGGGGAAGGAGACAAGGGCCTATGTGGACATTTCTCAAAAGAAGATATAAAAATGTATATAGAAACCGGGAGCCGTTGGCTCAATCTTATAATCCTAGCTACTCAGGAAGCTAGAGATCTGAAGATCACAATTCTAAGCCAGTCCAGACAGAAAACTCCATGGCACTCTTATTGCCAGTAAACTACTCAGAAAAACCAGAAGTGATGCTATGGCTCAAACGGTAGCGTGATAGCCTTGAGCACAAAGAGGTTTAGGAACAGTGCCCAGGCCCTGAGTTCAAGTCTCAAGACCAGGAAAAAAAGTCAGTCTTCTAAACAAACACACAAAAGGCTAAAACAAAGTGCTAGCCAGGATGTGGAGAAAAGATAAAGTTTGTATTCTGTGGGTGGAAATGTAAATTAAGACAGAAGACTACGACAGGTGCTCAAAAATAAATTAAAAATAGAGCTCCACATGATCCAGCAAACCTACTGCTAGCTCTACATCCAAAGGAAGCATAATTAGTATGTCAGAGACGTTGCACTCCTAGGTTTATTATCACTAAGAAACAACCTAATGAACTCAAGTGATAAATTAAAAAATGATACAAAGATATAATGAAACACCACCAGGCACCAGTGGCTCACACCTGTAATCCTAGCTACTCAGGAGGCTGAGAACTAAAGATCACAGTTCAAAACCAGCCAAGCAGATAAGTCTGTGAGACTCTTATCTCCAATTAACCACCAGAAAACCAGAAGTGGTGCTATGGCTCAAGTGGTAGAGAGTTAGCCTTGAGCTGAAGAGCTCAAGGACAGTGCCCAGGCCTAGAGTTCAAGCCCCGCGACCCACACACACAAAAAAAAGTATGGAATCCTGTCATTTGCAACAACATGGTTGGAACTGGCGACCACTATATTAAGTAAAATAAGCCAAGCACAGAAAGACAAGTACCACTTGATCTCACATGAATATGTTAGTTGATCTCATAGAAATTGAGAGCAGAATCCATGTTCATTGCTGCACTATTCACTACAGCTAAGTTACAGTAGCAGCCTAGGTGCCATATAATCATATAATGAATGGATCAGAGTATAAATATATGTACATATATATTCACAATACACACACACATACAGAATGGAATTTTACTCATCCACCAGGAAAAATATTGTTATTTGCAGGTAAATGGATGGACCTGGAAAATATGTTGTCAGACTCAAAGAGACAAAGGTCATGTTTTCTCTCATATATACAAGAACTAAATTATAAACATATATGAAAACATATACAGGGACCTTTAAAATGAAATTTTAAACAAAAAAAATACAGGTCCATATGCATATATACAAAAACAAATTAATGTATGGCATATGCAGGGGAGGATTCTATACATTGTATAATTCTTTTGAACAACTAACATTAATTTAACAAAATGAATACCATGTTTTGTTTTGTTTTGTTTTGGGGTTTTGTTGTTGTTGTTGTTGGTCATGGGGCTTGAATTCTGGGTCTAGGCACTGTCTTTCAGTTCTTCAGCTCAAGGCAAGCACTCTACCACTTGAGCCACAGCACCCCTTCCAGTTTTCTGGTGGTAGAGTCTCACAGGCTTTCCTGTTCAGGCTGGCTTTGAACAGTGATCCTCAGATCTCAGCCTCCTGGGTGGCTAGGATTATAGGCGTGAGCCACAGGTGCCCAGCTGAATACCATGTTTTGTCACAGGAGGATGAGATTAAGAGGAGAGGGGGAGATGGAGAAGAATGGTAGACGAATACAATTATATTTAATGTACATACGTAAAAATGGAACCAGGTAAATTGAGGGCATGGGTGAGGTTGGGATAGATGAGGGAGAGAACAATGGAAGATGACATTGATCAAAATGCATTGTACTTATAACCTGACATGTTGAATTGAAACCCTTTTGTACAACCACTTAAAATTTTAAAATATGATTACCAGAGGCTAGGGAAAGTAGCAGTAGGTGGAAGGAGGGGGTGGATTGATGGACCAATCAGTGCATACCAAGTCAGATGAAAGTTTTGAGATGCTATGCACAGTAGGGTGACTGTGGATTACAGATATGTATTGTGCATTTCAAAAGCCTAGAATGTTTTCCTTTATGATTTTCATTATAAAATGACAAATGTTTAAAGAGACAGGTATTTTTAGCCTGACAAACACAATTATACACGTATAGAAACAGCATGTGGGACCTTATTAATACATTCAAAATTTTGTTTTCATCTATGTTTTAGTTATTAATTTTAAAAAATAGACAAAAAAGAAATGTCATACAAAATGTGAAATATGGCTGGGCGCAGTGGAGACTCAGGAAGCTGAGATCTGAAGACTGGGGTTTGAAGCCAGCCAGGGCAAATAAGTCCATAAGACTCTTATCTCCAATTAATCACACACATGAAAAAAGCTAGAAGTGGAACTGTGACTCATGTGTTAGAGCCCTAGAACTTGAGCACAAAACTCAGGGATAGCACCTAGGCCCAAAGTTCAAGCCACAGGAAAAGGAAAATAAATACATAAAATGTGAAGTAACTGGAATATATTAGAATTACTAATTAATGATATTTTATTTCAAATAAAATTAACAAAATTATTAATCTGAAATTGAACTTTTTTGCCTTATTGACATCTTAAAAACCAAAAACATAGTAATTATTATAGAAAGCAATGTTGGGGCTGGGAAGGTGGCTCAGTGGTAGAGCGCTTACCTTGCATGCATGAAGGCCTGGGTTCAATTCCCCAGCATCACATAAGCAAAAAGAAAAGCCAGAAGTGGCACTGTGACTTAAGTGGTAGAGCGCTAGCCTTGAGCTGAAGAGGTTGGGGGCCGGGGCCCGGGCCCGGGGGCCGGGCCCCCCACCTTGCCCCCCCCCCCAAAAAAAAGAAAGCAATGTTAACTATGTATCTTCCTATTTGCCCATGACTTCCAAATAGCTAGCTACAAAGTTTCCTACATTTAGAAGGAGGACAGGAAGAATATGAAGTCTATTATTACTAGCTTGATATCCTGAGATAATCTTCCAGGATATACAAACCTCAACTTGAAGGAGATTAAAGCATTCATAAACACATTACATCTGGAGTTGGGAGCAGTAATTATGAAAGTGTCGTGTCCACCCACTGAACCCAGAAGAAAGCTTCTTCAACTTCTGCAACTGCCCCCACTCAAGCATACACACACACTTCCAAGCTGCAAATGTTAGAAATGAGACAATGAATGCCCTGAAGTATTCCTCCATGGATTCAAGCTCATGAATTAACATAACACTATTTCAGCCTTTTCAATTGCCATTGACATCCATGCTTATTTGTATCCAGATATTCAGACAACATTAAGGAAACACACAAGTCAAGTTACTCAGGTTTAATGATTCCATGGTTTGTTGATATCATTTAAACACCTCAATTTTGTTCCATTATGTCTGCTCATTGCAGATAATCCAGGTCATCTAGCTTTCCCTTCAGAACACTGTAAGAGTCTTCTGTATCCCAACTTTCATGAAACAGACCAATTAAACAAAATCCCAGAAAGATATAAATCAGCTCATTTAGTGGTCTTTCAGGTGCAAAAATCTTTATAATCAACAAGGTCAGAGGGAAGAAAACAGATCAATAGATACTGTTTGGACCCAAATTTTCCAAAAGCCACCTTTCCTTAAAGAGCAGAATTAATCTACTTATGATAAGACCCACTGGGAGCAAGTATCCCAGCCCAGCTCCAGCTGAGCGCCCACCACTTTCCTGTAAGAGTCATGACCATTTGGAATCTTCTGCAGCAAATTTCCATCTCTTTCCTGTCGCAAATCTGTGGAAATTCCTAATTTCCAAGGAGGATCAGAGCTGTCTGACAATCTCTCTGTAAGAAGCTAAGCTTTCTTTCCTTAATGCATGTTCAACACTGAGGGGATGATAATGAAGTCTCTCAGTCTCAGGCCAATGTCGGGCAGGAGGTTAGGACAGAGACCAGCCAAAAAGGCTGATTTTAACCTAGCTCAAAGTAGGTCATTTAGGAAATCCCTGACATCAAAATGGTGCTCAGAGCCGTCTCTAAGACAGTCAGTATGTGCTATCAAAATGGCTTGGGTCCTCCCAGACTAAACAAGACCAAGCTCTCAGCTCCAGGATGAACTCACTATTCTTGGGGCCTTTGGGCAACACGTGACTATCTCTAACTTCCTGGTCCCTTCCTAGCATGGCTATAAGTCCTTGAGAATTGGAGCAGCGGACTCAGACCGATGAGATGGAGAAAATCGCTGATTGTGCTGCACGTTCAACAGTTAACTGAACTCCTTACAGTGAGGCGTTACATTCCTCGCTGTACCAGGAGTACATGACAACAAACCATCTTATTTTAAAAGATTCTTCACCACTTCAATATTTGCACCTCTCCATCCTAATTAATCTCTCTCCCTTATTCCCACCCGTCCTTGGACACACCACCAGAAGATGCTGGCGCAACACTTCTAGTACCTCTAGCACCCAAGGATACAGCAGCATTAATGGCATTTGGCAGAAAAATCCCTTCCCATTTTGAACCCTCCCAAGTTCAACACAGTGAAAGTTATAAATGATAATATAAGAGAAGAGGCAATAGAAATCAGAGACTGCCCTTCCCATAAAAGAGGCACAGAAATGTCAGGAGTTAGTGAAGAATGTATCATCTCTTTCCAGAAGGCCACCAGCTACCACCACTTGGGAGCCGCATAATCACTTGTTTCTCCTCTGGACTGAAATGCAAAATTGTCAGTATGGCTGTGAGAGTCTGCTGGCGGCCCAGGCTGTCAGGCAAGGTCAGGAAGCGATAGATGATGTTCTTGAGATACTCCAGGTTGGCTCCCTCTCTGCTCTGGTCCCGGATGTTCTTTTCGATGTGGCTCTGCAGGACTCCAACTTCTTCCCTGTGTCGTTCCTCCTCCTCCAGCAGCCGTTCCTGCAGCTGATGTGCCTCCACTTCCAGTCTGTGTTTCTGCTTCCTCAGGGATGTGATCTCCACCTCCTTGCGGGCCAACTGCTCAGCATACAGGAAGAAAGTAGGCTCATTGGCCGCAGCAAGCTGCAGTGCTTGGGTCAGGCTATCTGGGGAAGATGTGTCAGTTGAGTCCCCAGGACCTCCACCACCCACAGGACTTCTACGTCCTGGCAGCCCAGATGACAAGGCCACAGAACGCAGTTGCTCCAGCTCCAAGTCCTTCTCAGCCAGCACAGCTAGGGCCCGGTCCCGCTGCTTGTGTAGCTCCTCCTCCAGTTTCAGCGTCCGGTCCCTGAAGTCCAACTGACTGCGCTCCAGTTCCTGGCGATGCTGCTGTTGCAAGCGAGCCAGCTCCTGCTTCCAGTCCTCAGCCTCCTGCTGGTGCTGGTGCTCGAGCTCCTCACAGGACAGGCGCAGAGAGATGTACTTCTCCTTCAGCTCTGAAAGCTGCTCCTGTGTAGCCTCCAGTTCCTTCGCCAGATTCCCATCTTTGGTATTCTTGCTTTTGAGCACCACCTGTGCCCTCAGCTTGTAGCGCTCAAACTCTTCCTTCAACTGTTTTAGTTCCTGTTGGTAGTAGAGGGCAGTAGCCTTTTCCCCATCTGCAGCTTCGGAGCTGGGCATTATCTCCAGGTCACAGAGCTTCTCCACATCCAGAGTCACCTGAGTTTTCCTGGCTGCGACCTGCAACAGCCTCTTTAGCTTTTCCATCTTGTCTTTCAGGACATTGACATCCAGACTGGACTCATCTCCGTGGCTATCAAGAGGAGACCGGCTGGAGGCTGCAAGGGCCAGTGTCTTGTTCTCCAGGTCCAGCTGCAGAATGCGCTCCTTCAGCTTTTGGATGGTCAGCTGGTCCTTCTGCTTGGCTTTCTCATAAGTGCCCAGCAGTTCAGATACCTCAGATATTTGATTCTCTAGGGCTGCTACCCTTTGTTCTTCCACCTGACATTGCTGGCGGAGCTGATCCTCTGCAAAGGCTGTCTGCAGAACAGGGGAACAGACAAAAATACATCCAGAAGAGTCACCAAATGCTACAGTAAATTCCAGGGGTAGAGGCAGCAAGGGAGACAAGCAAAAGGGTCATGAGATTGGGATGACCTGGAAAGAATAGGAACCAGGAGTTTTTTGTTTTCGGGGGTTGGGCTCAGTGCTTGAACCCAGGGCCTACACACTGTCCCTGGGCTTTTTTGCTCAAGGCTAGCACTCTACCAATTTGAAACAGAACTCTATTTCTGGTTTACTGGAGTGGTTAATTGGAGATACAAGTCTCACTGACATTCCTGCCCTGACTGGCTTTGAACCATGATCCTCAGATCTCAACCTCCTGAGTAGCTAGGATTACAAGCATGAGCCACCAGTGCTCAGCTTGGAAACCAGGAATTTTTAATATTAAGCTCCTTTGTACTGCTTCTGTTGTTCTGCTTCAGTTTTCCATTCTGCACTGAGCTCACATAGTATTTTTGTTGCCTACTGTGTGCTTCTCCAAATCCTAGCAAGTCACAAAATATTATTTTCCTTTTGCAATAATCCTAGAAACTTAAAACTCAGTTTGATTTCAAAGCAGTATTTTTCCAAGACAGGTAAATCTTAACTAAAAGCAATTACAAACCAATCCTTTTGAGAAAATCCTCCTATGCCTCCTTCAAGTCATTCTACCTACAGCCACATACCTCAGTATTCACACTACCTTCCATTGTATGGCTGCCATTACATTGCTTCAGAGAACATAACTGGTAAGATGCCAATGCCCAGAAGTTCAAACATGTCTGGCTCAGACCCAGCCACACTAAGAAATTTGATCTCCTGTTGGAAGGATACTCTCAGTGGCTCATGACCATAGTCCTGACTACTCAGGAGACTAAGGATTGTGGTTTGAAGCCAGGGCAGGAAAGTCCATGAGATCTCCAATTACCCAGCAAAAACCCAGAAGCAGAACTGTGACTAAATGGTAGAGTGCTACCCTTGCAAAAATAGGGACAATGCCCAGGCCCTGAGATCAAGTCCCAATACTGGCACGAAAAAAAGGATACTCTCATGAAGAACAAGATTTCCTAGGACAGGGCTGGGAAGGTGGGTCAGTGGTAGAGCGCTTGCCTTGCATGCATGAGGCCCTGGGTTTGATTCCTCAGCACCACATAAGCAAAAAAGAAAAAAGCTGGAAGTGGCGCTGTGGCTCAAGTGGTAGAGCGCTAGCCTTGAGCTGAAGAGCTGAGGGACAGCACCCAGTACCCAGAGTTCAGGCCCCACAACCGGACCCCCCCCCAAAAAAATCAGAATATAAGCTAGGCATAGTGGAACACAATTGTAATCCAAGCACTGAAGAGGCTAAAGCAGGAAGATCACAATTTCAAGGCCAGCCTGAGGTACATTGGGAAGCCCTGTCTCAAAAAAGAAAATCAGAGTGCAACTACTTAGTACTAACTACCAAAGTAGGGGAGAAAATCCCTATTATTTCCTTACTTTGACTTAAATGATTTATAGCTGAAGGAAATAATTACCTTCCTTATTTCCTGTTGCAGCTGAGCCTGGAAATGGCTCTTAAGGCGGGCAGCCTCTTCCTGAAGTTCTTGCAGTCGGGGGTCTGGTCGATTTTTCTCATCTCGAATGGTCTGGAGTTCACCTTTCAGCTCCTCCACCTCAAGGGTCAGCTGCTTGGTCTGTAGTTCAAACCCTTCCATCTGATCTGCTGCATACGCCCGCCCTGCCAGGGCTTCCCGAGTCTCTTCTAACCGAAGCTCCAGGTCCTGACGCTGGGTCCTCTCCTCCTGCAGCAGCTTTTGGAGTTCACGCAACATCAAGGCATGGTCACTCTGCTCTTGGGCCCGATCGTGCTGCTGCGTAATAAGTCGGGCTTTGGTTTCTGCTATCTGTTCCTGCAACCCCTTCAATTCTCCCTCCAGACGTCCCCTCTCTTCCTCAGCCTTTTTATTGGCATCCTCTAAGTCCTGTTTCATTTTCTTCTTGTCAGCCAAGTAAGAAGCCTCCATACGGGACTTCTCCTGGGTGACTGTAGCCAAAGAGCTGGTCAAAGTTGCTAACTGCGTCTTTAGCTGATGTAGTCTTTTATCCACCTCACCACCCACAGATGGCCCATCCCCACTGCTACTGCTAACGCCACTCTCCGACCCACTGGCCTCTTCGGACTTTGGGGGTGGTGGTCCACGGGCCGGTCTGTCATCGTCTACCCCAAACTCACCCTTGATGCTGGTGAGACTGGCTGCTGTGTCCAAGCTAGTGGCGGTCCCGGTGCTATCCTCGCTGTGAGTAGAGCACCGATCATCTACAGAATCGGGCAAGGTGAGACCTGGAGACTGGACACCTGCAAGGCCCACATCCGCCTCGTGGGATACCGACAGCACCTTGATGCTGGCCTCCAGAGCCTCCTTCTCCTTCAGCAGGCTTTTATAGGCACGGACCACATCTTTGAGCCGTGCTTGATACTGCAGAAGCTGCTTCTTCTGCGTCTCGATGGTCTCCAGCAGGTCCTTCTTGCTCGGGCCACCTCCGAAATTCATCCCAAACTTCTCCATCGAGGTCCTGGAGTTGAGGAGACTGACGTCAGCGTTCTGGCAGCCCGGGAGAGGGCCACCGAGCCCCAGGGAAAGCGAGCTGGAGAGGTGAGTCTGGCGGCGGGGCGCACGCGCGCTCCACCCAGCCGTCTCGCTGCAGACGGCGGCGGGGACGGAGCAGCGCCCACGGGGCCCCGAGCGCGACCGGCGGGGACAGGTCCTACGCTAGGAGACCGGGCGACGCTGACAGCAGAGGCCAAGGTCCGCCCGCGCTGGCCCAGCCGCCGCTCCGCCCCCTCCGCTCGTCCGGGCCACCACAGCCCGGGCCGGCCCCCGTCGGCCCACAGTTGGCCAGGAAGTTAGGCCAAACAGGGCTCCATCACGACTTCCCAACTACAGAGGCCGGAGGTTAACAACGCTTCCGGGTCCGCAGGAAGTGACGACAGCGTGACGCCACAGACTCCGCCCCCGGGCGCGGGGGTGGGCGGGGCTTCCTCAGCTGATGAGTAGGAGGTGGCCGCTTGTAGAAAACCCAGTAGGGCTGGTTTGGAAGAGCAAGCAAAGTCCGGGTCACCAGAGGAGTGGTTTGGAGAAGACGCCAGAACTTGCCCTCAGGGAGCAACAGGGGGCGGCGTCGCGCAGCCTTCTTCCCAAATACTCACTGAGATGAAAGACACCAACTATTAGGGACAACGTCCAATATGTCTCTACAGGGCAACTGTTCAGATTTCCATGTATACCACAAAAACTGCAGTCTTTTCTAGCACTATGCTTGGCACCTAGTTGGTATATAGTATAGAAGAGCCCGTCCTTAGTTCTGTTGAGCTGATACAACAGAGATTTATAGAGGGCACTGTATAGCCACGAGGTTCCCTGAGAATGTCAGCTATATGCTGGGGTTTTGTTATTTTTTTTCTTACGAACTTTTGCTCAGATGGTATCATTAGCACTATTTTACAGTTACAGAAATATAACACACAGAGAAGTAACATTCCTAAGGTCAAACGGCTAGGAAGAGTTCAGGAATCCAATCTCATTCAGTCTGACCCCTCAACATACTAAGGGCTATGAAGTGACACATCATGAAGAGACATGGCCTTATTCTTAAAGAAATCACAGTCTAGTGAAGACCCAGAATGCGAACAAATAGGTTCTGCTATCATACCAGTATGCAGAGACATATTCAAAGTAGCGTAAGAATCAAGAAGGAGGCCACTTTAGTCACAGAAGCTCTCAGGGCAAGTACTTTGAGATTTAAAAAATGAGTAATGATTGCCTGTCTAGAGATGTGAGGAGGCAGCATAAAAGCAGGTAGAAAAGAATGCAAGGACTTTTGGGTTATCTGCTTGACTCAGTCGGGAAGCATTAAAAATCATCTCCAAGGTGTGTGCCAGTGGCTCACGTCTGTAATCCTAGCTACTAAGGAGCTGGGATCAGAGGATCTTGTTTTAAAACCAGCCTGGGTGAGTGTGTTAGACTTATCTTCAACCAACCACCAAAAAGCCAGAAGTAGAACTACAGCTCAAGTGGTAGAACGCTAGCCTTGAGCAAAAAGCTCAGCGACAGCATCAGGCCCTGAGTTCAACCTCAGGACTGACACACACACACACACACCACCAACCTCCACCACCATCATCTCCGGGCAGTAGCTTAATGTATGGGAGAGAGATGGCAACAGGTGAGGCAGACACAATAGGTAGGAAACCCAATTTAAGACATTTTTTTTTTAATCTTGGGTGTTTGTTTTTTGTTTTTTAAAGACATTAAAGGAATTTACCCTCAACAAGGGGGCACTATTAAGACTTGTATGACATTTGGGATGGTACCAACGGGGCAGGATTGCAGACATAGGAAGAGTTCATGTGATGCCCGATATTATTAAGAAGATCTTTTAAACGTACTCTTCGGCCTGGCCAAGGGAAAGTCACGCCCTCACTCCGCACCCAGAACCATTCCCGCTCTCCCGACCCTTCCAGCCAACGCGGCTCTGGAGGTGGAGGGCGGAGCTAGGTGGTGAGGGCGGAGCCAGGGGCGGGCCTGGAGGGGCGGGGCCGCGTG